TCTGGGTTCAGTTCCCAGCACCCACATGGTGGCTCACAAGCCTCTGTAACTCTAGTTCCAGGTGATCCAAGGCCCTCTTCTGGCCTCTGAAGGCATTGCACACACATGGCACACTTACATGCACCCAGGTAAAACACTCGTATACATAAAATCATAAAATAATTCAAAAATATTATTTTTTAAAAAAATAACAGATAGCTAAGCATGGTGGCTGATTTCTGTAATCCCAGCACTCAGGAGGCTGAGAAAAGAGAATTGCAAGTTTGAGGTCAGCTTAGGTTACTCAGGAAGTTCCAGACCAGCATGGGAACACAGTGAGACCCTGTCTCAAAAAAACTGAATTAAATTTTAAAAGAATAAATATATAGCGGGTAGATTTCAAGTAGTCTGTGTCACAATCATGATTGTGAACCTGACTGGGTTGAGAAACACTTGGAGATTTGTAAAGCATACCTCTTGGTGCATCTGAGGTGATTTCTAGAGAGGACTAATAAAAGAGACTCACCCTGAATATTAGTACCACTACCCAACAGATTGGAGACTGAGGTAGAATAAGAGGAGAAGGGTCAGGTATGGTGGTACACTCCTTTAATCCCAGCACTGGGGAGGCAGAGGCAGGCGGGTCTCTGTGAGTTCAAGGCCAGCCTGGTCTACATAGTGAATTCCACTATGTAGCCTGAGAGCTACATAGTGAGACTCTGCCTCAAAAAGAGTAAGGGAGGGAGGGAGGGAGAGAGAGAGAGGAAAAAGAAGGGGGTGAGGGGGAAAGAAGCACACAGGCATTCTCTTGCTGCTCCATGACTGCTGTTATAAGAACAGCTCTGCTCTACCACTCGACCCATCTCATCGTTATGAGCTGAAATCCTGAAACCATGAGTCAAGTCTTTCCTCCCTTAAGTTGTTCTCTGCACAGGTATTTGTCATAATGATTATATTCTGACTAGCACACAGTCCTTCAAAAACATCTATACTACAACATAAAATAAAAGCTCAGTGAATGGGGTCATATAGAAAATTAATGGTTCAAAGAGCAATTAGAAAACTGGAAAACATGTCTGAGGAAATTTCACTCAGAAGTATGAAAATAAGGAAAATATAAGAGGCTAAGACTTGGGGATTAGGGTAAGAAGGGCCAGCGTGAGACAATTATGAATTCTATTAGATAGAAACTGGGAAAAAAATCAAGAGAAATTTCTAGAACTAAGGAATCTCTTCACATGGAAGATACATACTGAGTTCTAAGATCAGTAAGAACAAATGCATAGAGCCAGGCATGGTGGCACATGCCTGTAATTCCAGCACTCAGGAAACTGAGACCAGGTCTTGAATTCAAGACCAGGCTTGGCTACATAATAAGACACTGTCTCAAAATCAAAAAGCACTTCAGTCTGTGTTGGTGGTATAGTGGTGAGCATGGCTGCCTTCCAAAAAATCACTTCATACCACAGTAAAACTACAGATCATCAAAGACAAAAAAAAAACAAAAAAAAAACTATCTTTAAAATATCAGAAAGGAATAAAGAGCACCGAAGAATGACAACTGGACTTGAAAACAGACATATCGGTGGCTCTCAGAATCCTACAGCAAACTACAGAAAAGTAAGAATCAAGACACAGGCAGCTGCATTTGGGTGGGGTCTTGGTGAGGTGTCACCGAGTCTTTGCAGCAAGTTGAAGTTGGTAGGACAGGTGGAGAGCAGGCCAAAGTGGCCTGCTGGGAGATGGCTTCGCTTTGCTTCAGACTTCAAAGTGATGAGAGCCAAGGTTAAAACCTGAGATAAGTCCCTGAGGAGAATGAGATAAAGAGGCAAGAGAACCCTGCCTTGCAGGTAGGGTCAAAGGTCAGGGATGGTCAAAGGAGAACTGCCCTAGCTCCTGAGCATAGTCACCCCTTGCCTCCATCCCCACTTGATCCTTCTTTGCATCCTATTCAGGTAGTACTTTTGGAGTATGCCTTCCTGGCCCTTCATCTGATGGAATGTCTCCCCTATGGACCATCTTAGATTATTTTTCTTTTTTCCCTAAAGCCATCTAGGGAAGAGGGCACATGGAAGAAGGGACAGGGCCTCAGCCTGCACAGCATAGCAGTCAACATCCTCGGGTGGAAATACCCTCACTGAGGGTACCTGTATTAGTGACTGTGCTTGTTAAGCACGAAATGCTTAACAAGAATGACTTAAGACAACTTTTTTTGCTCATCATTCAGGATATTTCAATCCATCATGGTAAATAGGGCATGACAGTTGAGGTGGTTCACCCTGAGGTGGCAGACGCTTGCAGCATGACTTGTTCACATCTTGGCAGATCAAAAAGCAGAGAGCCCAGGCCAGAACAAAGCTATGTGACACCTTCAAGGCGGTTCCCCAGGGACCCACTTCAGCTAGCTGGCTCAGAGTCCCAAAGGCTCTATAAGCTCCCCAAACAGCTGGGGACCAAGTGTTCAAACATGTAAGCTGTGGGAGACATTTCACATTCAAACCATAACAGCATCTGATTTCTGTTTCCAAGTGGGAACATTGGCACACATGAATTGCTCTCCAGTCATGGCTGCTAGACAGGGAAGAACAGTAAGATATTGGGCTAGACAGAATAATAGTGATAACAATATCAAAAATTATTGCATTTTGACTTACAATGGCATTGCATCCTGGTAAACCTTTTTTCTTTCTATTAAACTTTATTTTTATTTTATGTATATAAGTGTTTTACCTGTGTGAATGTTCATACAATGCTTGCAGAAGCCAGAAGAGGGTGTCAGATCCTCTGGAACTGGAGTTATGGATGGTTGTTAGCTGCCATGTGGTTGCAGGGAACTGAACTCCGGTCCTCTGCTAGAGAAACCAGTGCTCATAACCACTGAGCCATCTCTCCATACCCTCTTCTTTTTTTCTAAGGCAAGATTTCATTGTGTAGGCCTGGCTGGCCTAGAATTTGCTATGTAGACCAAGCTGACCTTGAACTCACAGAGATCTACCTGCCTCTGCGTCCTGAGTGCTGGGATTAAAGGCGTGAGCCACCATGTTGGGCCTGATAAGTCTATTGGAAGTTGAAAATATCTGCTATGGGTGGACAGTGTCACCCCCACCAAAGTTTATGTGTTAGTTAATTCCTGTGTGAATGGTATTTGAGGGTAGGGCCTTTGGGGTGTTAGTAGGGTTATATAAGAACATAGGGGTGAAGCCCCATGATGTCATCAGCAACTTTGTAAGAAGGGGAATAAAGATCAGAGCTGTCAGGCTTGCTCTCTCTCGCCATGTGAAACCCTCTGCCATGTTATGATGGACCAAGAAAACCTTTACAAAACGGTAAGCAGAGGCCAACGTCACAATCTTGGATTTCCTGGGCTCCAAGACTGTAAGCCAAACAAGCTTCTTGTTTATTTGTTTGTTGTTTTTGAGATATCAAAACAACCTGTATCAGCTGCCCAGGCTGGTCTCAAACTTGAGATCCTCTTGCCTCAGCCTCCCATTTAGTTGAAATTACAGATATGTGTTACTCTGGTCAGCTTAAACTTCATAAAATCTTTAAGTTATAAATTACATAGTCTCGGGTCTTTTTTGTTATAGCAGCCAAAAATAGGTGAAGGAGAAAGTAAATTGGATGCACTGAGCATACCATGAATCCACAGAATATCGGTTCTTCCTCTTTGTAATCCAGGGCTGACCAGGAGCTGTGACTCACTGCAGCCACTGCCCAGCATCCTAAGAGAGGATCATACCCAGTACCACAAGTCTGAGAAAAGATCCACATTCAAAATTTGAAAAACAGTTTGTATTGGATGCATACCTCTTCTGCACCATTATAAAGTTAAAAGAAATTGTGAGTCTGGGACTGTCTATACAGACTTGCAAGGCTCCTGAGGTCCACCAGGCCCTGACCAATGCATTCTCCATAGGAAATCCCAGGATACTTCCAACCCTGCTAATAATAAGGCTGGACCTCCCCTAGTGATGAAGTCACCCTAGGTAGATAGGATATCCACAGGATCCAAGCTCAAAGCTTCCGGAATGGAAAGGGGAGCTGGGGCCCGGTGCTCTGCAGGTGTATCACCAACAGAAGGTGTCAGGAGCCAACAGAGGGTGCAATCAGAGATTGATAGTATGGAGGTTTTCAAAGTCTCCAAATGTCAGGCTTTTTCCCTAGGTGAATGGAAGCCCAGAGGGTCTTTGAGACAGGGGACCACAGGTGAAGCTCTGTGCCTCACTTGTGGGACTTGGTGAGAAAGCCAGGGACAGGCAGAGAAAGAGAGAGGTAGTGGGCAGCTACACAGTCATCTGATTTTCCATAGAGCCAGGGGGCAGCAGAGACACCACAGGCAGTGAGCCTGGCCCGTCCCCAGCAGGCAGCTTGAATGTGGGCCTTTGGGTCGGCCCCAAGGAGTCCAGCTGTGGACGACTGTGGTGTTTCCCAGAGACTCAATACAGGGTTCCCGACAGAGGGTGACTAAGGCTCTTCTCAGGAGCTGCCACCCCCTCACCCGGAAAGAATGGCAGGCGGGCACTCGCCTGGCACTGGGGGGCCACTTCCTAGTTTTATCTCATCCTGGCTGGGAGTATGACTCTTGCCCAGGCAGGCTGGTTCACCAGTTTCCAAGAGGACCAGAGCCAGACATGGGGGCTAGGATTAACAGCTGACCAGGAAAAAGGCAGGGGCCAGGCAGAGCTAATTTACACCATGCGCTCAGCTGCACCAGGCATGAGAACCTCCTGAGCGAAGGTGCCCATCACTTCCTCTTGGAGGTACCTCCTCCTCAGAACTTGCATCAGTCACAGAGGCCTCTCAAGAGACTGAGAGTTTTGGTTTTTAAAAATATTTTATTTATTATTTTCATTTTTATGTGTATGAGTATAGTATTGCTGCATTATGCAAGTGCACCCATGTAGTGCAATGTCCACAGAGGTCAAAAGAGGGCATCGGATTGCCCTGGAACTGGAGTTAGGGATGGTTGTCAGCTGCCATGTGGGTGCTGGGAATTAAACCCAGGTCCTCTGAAAGAGCAGTCAGTGCTCTTAACCGCTGAGCCATCTCTCCAGCCCGAGACTGAAGTTTTTTACTTTCTTTGTCCAGGTTGTGACTCCAAAGACCCAGTGGCTGGTACCCCTGCAAGCGCCGATGGCTCTCAGGCAGGGATGCCTAGGGGACAGTGGCCAGTGCTAAAGTTGTGGCTCTCAGTGGGCAGTGATGAATCAAGAGTGGAGGTTGGGTCATCGCAACCAGTGAATTCATTGCAGCTATGGTTACCTGCATATGATCAAGTCAAGGAGATCAGTCAAGATCCCAGTAGGCAGCAGTAACTGGACACAGTGGATTGTTTAAAAAAAAAAGAGGGACATGATAGGGGGGCTTTGGAGGTACCTGGGAAGTGGGAGGGAGTTGAGGGCTTCTGGGAGGGATGCAAGGTGAAACTTAGGGGTGCATGTGATCAAGATGCATTAAACATTTACATGTATGAAATCTTCAAGGAATACATAAAGGATATTCTTTTGGGGGGGGAGGCTCTTTTTGAGACAAGGTCTCTCTGTAGCCCCAGGTGTCCTGGAACTCACTTTGTAGACCAGGCTGGCCTTGAACTCACAGAGATCCACCTGCCTCTGCCTCCCGAGTGCTGGGATTAAAGACGTGTGCCACCATGCCTGGCTCATGAAAAAAAAATTTTTTTTAAGTATCCTTTTGTAAAACAAAACTGCCTGCTTGCTGCCTTCTTTATCACCTTAGAGCCTTGTCCCCTCCTGTGTCCCAGGCCTTGAACATCCAACATAGCCCCCAGGACAGAGCAGTCACTTTCTGATGCTGTGAGTGGGGGCTCCGCTGGAGTAGGAAAGGGTAGCAGAGATCACACATAACCCTTGCTGGACTCCTGGCTCTTTTGCAACAATCTGGGATTTGGGCCAAGTTTCAACTTAGGAGTCTTGGTTTCTTTATGCATAAAAGAAAACAAAGCTAGTCTAACAAATAAATGCTCGAGGGAGCACTGTGAGAATCATGTGAGTTTGTGCATATAAATAGTTGTTGATATTTTCTTGCAGCCTGCTGAGCTCCCCCCTTCCTCCCTGTCAAAGCCTGTGGGGTTCCTTGTTTGGAGGGGATTATGGTGACACTTCTGTCCTCTTGCTGAGAAGCTTCACCTACCAGAAGCCAATTTCTTCTTCCTTAGGGACCTCACTGTTGGCTACTGCCTTTCAGTCAGCTTTACCTGAAGGGGGACCAATTTTCACATCCTTTTAAAGATTTGAAAATTACCTCTTGGCCTGGATTCACTATGGAGACCAGGCTGGCCTTGAACTCACAGAAATCCACCTGCCTCTGCCTCCCGAGTGCTGGGATTAAAGACGTGTGCCACCATGCCTGGCTAGGATATTCCATTTTAAAAGGAATGGAGAAGCTGAGTATGGGGGCACATGCCTTTAATCCCAGCACTTGAGAAGCAGAGGCAGGCAGGTATCTGAGAGATCGAGGCTAGCCTGGTCTGCATAACAAGGTCTAGGTTCTAGGCCAGCTAGGGCTACAGGGAGACCCGGTCCCCACTCCCCCAAAAGAGTGGAGGTCCCAAGGGGATTAACTTTGCAGGTTGGCAGTAACTGCTCTGGCCTGCCCAGGAGGATCAGGAGGTCGTCCCCAACAGTGTGGCTTTAACTGTCGAATTTCTGGTTTTGTTTTGTTTTTTGAAACAGGGTCTCCCTGTAGCCCCAACTGGCCTGAAACTCCCTATGTAGACCATGCTGGCCTGCATCTCACAGAGATACCCTTATTCCTCTGCCTTCCAAGTGCTGGGATGCACCATCACACCCAGCTTTTGAAAAAATTAATTAATTGTTTTTGAGATAAAGTTTCACTCTTTAACCCAAACTAGCCTCAAATTTGCAATCCTCCTGTTTCATCCTCCCCAGTGCTGGGAATACAGGCTTGCACCACCACACCTGACTTGGCCTCACCTTTTGCACCCGGCTGCTGCTGGCTGGCCCACCCCAAGGAAGACCCAGCAGCCTTGATGCTGGGAATCCCACTGCCCACTGCTGGTGACCTCTGGGAAGCCCCCTCAGGCCTATCGAGAGCCAGATGCTCCCAGGAGCCCACACAAGGCCACACCTGCCTTCCCTGCCCCACCCTGTCCCGCTCATTCCTAAATATTTCAGTACAGCCTGGGGCCCTTTGCAGCATCAGGAGTGTCTGGCTTCCAGGTGGAATGTCAAGCTAAGCAGTGAGTCACAGGCCCCCAAGGCCCTAATCTCCAAGATGAGCCTTCTTGCCCCCATCATTGTCCAAGAGCCCAGGGCTGGGGCAGTCTTTCTCGTGGCCTGAGGTAGATGGTACAGCTTGGTTCAGATCCTCCTAGCTCTGTAGGCTAGGCCCCTGGTTCTGAGCACAAGATGTAGGGATCTCTAGTCCCACCTGACGGCCTATGTGCCAAACTAAAGGGTCAACAGGGAGGGGTCCTGTCAGCCACCTTGACCTTAACAGGAAGGAGTAAGTGGGCAGTTCTATGTCCATTCAGACCCCAGGGTATAGAGAGGGACATCTGGCTCTCATAAGGCCCTCGAGGAAGTCCCCCAGCCCCAGGCTTCTGCATCTAGTTCCTTAGGCCTGACCCCTGCTGCCTCTCCAGGCCTTGGAAGTCCCCACTGCCCTCTGCATTCCTCCCCCAGACCCAGCCCACCCCAGCTTCCTGGTAGCCAAGTAGACTGCTGTAGCATTCTGGGATGAGGAGGGGCCATGTAGCCCCAGGGCTTCTGTAGGTCAACTCTGCAGGCTCTGCAGTCTGCTTGTGTGAGCAAGGCAGACAGGGTGAAGCAGGGCATATGCTGGGTGTCTGTGGGTGGGGTCAGTGTGGTCTGTATCTATGTGTGTGTTCTGTGATGTCTGTGGACTGTTAGTATGGCCTTTGGTGGTGTATGGTGTATGACATCCATGGGCTATATCAGTGTGGTGTGTTTTCTCTCTCTCTCTCTCTCTCTCTCTCTCTCTCTCTCTCTCTCTGTGCTACATGTTTGTGTGTTGCATGATATCTGTGGGCTATGTCTACATGGCATGTGTGCTTTGTGGTCTGGGTAAGTACTGTGATATCTCTGAGCACTGTGACATCTCTGAGCTATGACAATGTTGTATGTGTGCTGTGTGGATGTGGTATGAGTCTATGTGTTGTATGATGTCTCTGGGCTGTGTCTGTGTGGTATGTGTGCTCTGTGAGTGTAACACGTGTCTCTGTGTTTTGTGTGATACCTCTGAACTATGTCTGTGTAGTATAGGTATGCTACACGTATGTGAGCCTGTGTGCAAGCCATGTGTCCATAGCCCTGCAGAAGTAGAGGTCTCATTGAAGCTGCTGTGTGTGCCAGTGTGTTGTGCTGAGCCTGGGCTGTTCACCGGGCTTCAGGCCCCAGTGACCATGAGGACTAGGGAAAACCTGGGTCCTCAGGCCCCCTGGGAACCCGCTCAGGGCCCTAATCCTACCTTCTCCTCTGTAGATGTTGCTCAGTAGCCTCAGGAATGGACAAGTTGAGGACAATATCCCTTCTCCTGTGGTCAGGCAGAGCCTTGGATATTCAAAGGAACAGAGAAACCAGTCTCAGACCCACCATTGCTGGGGCCTATGCTTCTCAGCTTGCCTTGGGAAAGGATTTACAGCAGGGCCTTAACTCAGTACCTGAGACTCCCACCCATGCTCCAAGTTCAGCTCCATCCCCAGGGCCAGCCACATGAGTCATCCTCTTCTCTGAAGACTGGTTCCCTAGTATGTAGGCTAGGTATCTCAGAAGCCTACATGGATCCACTTCCATGGAGTGCACGCAGCACTGTAAGCCAAGCCCCCAATGGCTGGGGTGAAATAGGTTGTCACAATCTGACTGACCAAAGTCCTGGGTAAAAAGGAAACTCATGTTTCCAGAGAGCTCAGAGAATTGCCAAAGGTATGGTTAAGGCCATGGTGGGGGGTGCAGGCTTCAGAATCACGAATTAGCCAAGCCTGGTGGTATATGTCTGTAATCCCAGCTGCTGGGGAAGCTAAAGGAGGGAGATTACATATTCAAGGTCTGCCGAGGTAACTTAGTGAGACCCTGTCTCAAAACAAAATGTAAAAAGAGGGATGGGGATGTAGCTCAACGGTAGAACACCTGCCTAGAATTTACCAGTGAGGGGCTAGGGCATCTGGTAGGAGGAGGGCACTTACCTAGCACGTAAGAGAAATGAGATTCAGTCTCCAGGACTGCAAAACAAAACAAAATAAGCAAACAACAACAACAAAAAAAACCCCATGGGTTGCCATGGTTGGACCTTCTGTACCCTACGCTACCCATTGACCTCTGGGCCTGCTGCCCACACACTCACCTGCATATCCTCCACCCCAACCTGGTCTGACAGCACCTGATCCTTCATAAGGACCTAAGGAGACAGACAAGTAGTACCTGGGTGATAGAGGGACAGGGTCCCTGCAGTGGATCAGGGATCTGCCCTGGACCTGTATACTAAGAAGTAAAGGTCAAAGCTAATGGGGTCAGAAGAGAAGTGAGGAACCCATGAGTCTGGAGCCAAGCCCATATGAGTATATGTCCTTGGCTTTCCTGCTTAGACCCCTGTCTGAGCCTGTGTTCCCCACCAAGCACTCCTCATCTGCCTCCCATGTTACAAGTTAGCAGAGAGCCTCTGACATCCCCCCCCCCCCACACTGTTGTTCTCCCCTGTCCTTCCTCCTCTGCCTCTCCTGGGAGGGGAAGTGCCTCTTTGCTGGAGTCTTAAAGCCACAGCCCCTCCCTATGGCAGATGACCATGAACCCGAGACAGAGTGGCGGAGCCCACAACCTTCAGAACACCCCAAGGAATGGTGGGTATCTGTTCTCAGAAGCCAGGTTAATGGTCACATGGTATGCTGTCCCTTAAAGCTGAGTCTTCTGAGAAGCCCCGCTGCAATCTGAGTGACTGAGGAGATGGGGCTCCCAGCACCCACAGTATGCCCACCAGCAGGACAATGGGCTAAACCTTGCCAGGTATGTGGTAGAATGAGTGGAGAGGACAGGGGTGGCCAGATCAGTGGCCCTCTCAGCTGAGCCTCAGGGGACAGGGCCCAGGGAGCACAACCGAGGCCTCTGAGCAACCCCACCCTCATTCCCAGCTCCAAGCTGCAGTGCTGGACCATTCTCAGGTTGGCGGAGCATGGGGGCTTGCTATTGGGAGGGACTCTTTGGATGAGGAAAACAGTATTGTCCCATGCATGAGGGCTGTGGATTAGCTAGCATTGGCTGCATTTACCGACACCCCCCTCCCATCCGCCATGCTTTTTCTCTATCCTGGCAGTTGCCCTCAGCCAGACCATCCTTGAAGATAGGGCTGTGAGTTGCAGAATCTGAGCCCAGGGCACAGCAGTTTGGAAGTACCGGGCACGTTAGTGGCTCTCTGAGGCTGGAGCTCCCAGGGGCTGTTGGGCCCCAGAATCATCCTCCACATCTTTTATTTTATAACACCAAGGGGCCTGATCATACAACCCCCACCTTATGCCTCGGCCCCTAATCTGGAGGGAAGGGAGGAGACTGAGCCTCTCCCTTCCCCTCAAAGTCTGGGTCAGAGCCAGGGGCCAGCCCCTCACCCACCCCAGAGACCAGGACAAGGATTGGTGGAAAGACCAACAGGTTCAGGGGTCACCGTGTATGGCCAGGACACAGGTCAAAGATTTGCTGACAGTAGGCTAGAAGGTATTGATCTGTTGGGGGAGGTGACAGAACTCTGGCCCCTGCCAAGGACTGTGGGCATGGCTGGTGGTCAGCAAGCTGGGTTTTGCAAAGCCTGCAGGGAGCAGGGCTGAGATTCTGAGATGGCCCCAGGTCTCTCAATAGCAAGAGCCAATGGTGATGCCACAAATCATTCCATTGTCACTCTTAGGTTGATGCACCAGCATAATGGGCTTGCCTGGCCAGGGGACAACAGGGACCAGAGGTCATGTGCTCCAGTCACTGAGGCTCTTACAGGTTAGAGACAACTGGAGAAGTGAAGGGTCAAGAAACCCCACCTCCAGTTAGGAAGTCAGGTGCTGGAGGGCTTTACAGCCCAGCAGGCTAAGGGCTGAGTTGCTCAACTGCAGGGCACCTCAGTGGCTCTCCTGACCCTCACAGTGACCGTACCACTCTCCCAAGCTCTTAGCTGGAACTGGTACAGGAACAGTTCCCGCTCCTCCACCCCAGATAGTTCTAGTGGGTGAGTCTGGAAGAGGCTCCCTGCTCTGACTAGAGCAGCTCTGGGCAGGACCGGACATTCCAAATGCTCCTTACTCTCCAGATGGGGGAGAAGAGGCAGGTGGGAAGAGGCTTATGCCCTCTGTCCCCCGCCACAAGCTAAGCTCATCCCAGACGCCTTTTTCCACCCACCCACAAGCCTGCCTGGGGAGAGAGAGTGGGAGTGTATATGAGTGATTGTGCATGTGTGTGTGCACATGCATATGCATGTCTGTTTGCACTTGCATGCATCTGTGCACTTGGTGCACGCGCTCGTGTGTGTGCATGTTATTTGTGCATGCATGTGTCTGTGTTTGCGTTCATGAGCATCAAATGAGTGTATGAGCATGCGTATGTGCATGTGTATTTGTATATACACATGTATATTCATGTGCACATATGGGAATGGGTTCATTTATGTGTACCCTGTCCAAGGCTAGGCTGGCCCCCTTCTAGACACAGACGGGAGAAACATTGCAGCTATCCCTTGAAATGGTTTGGCCCTGATTTAGAAACCCTTACCAGTCCCTGTGGCCCTGGCCTTGGCCCGAACTCCTGCAGCTAAGGCTTACTGACCAGCACTTGCCAGCTGGCAACCTGGCCAGAGGTGAGCTCTGTCCACCGGGAGGACATCCTCCTAGCAGTGACACCTACTGGTCATGTCAGGTACTGCAGATTGACTTTTCTATCTCTTGTCCTGACAACCAATAACCTTCATGGGAACAAGGCCCCTCCCTGTACTGTGCAAGAGCTGGAGGTTGTCCTGTGGTTTCCAAACCATGGGGTTCTTTCAGGTCCTTTCAAGGGCCCTCCATAATGGAGGTTCATGGATCCCCATACCCCTTGTCTTAAAAGGCACTGATTTTATGCTTGAGGGAGACAAAAGTTATTTTTAAATTTCTGGGCTAGCTTTAGCTGGTGGTCTCCATAAGATTGGTTTTTCTGAACAATTAAATTGGTTTTAATGTATTAGTAGCCCAATAGTCTCCTAAAAGATGCACAAAATCACTTACAGGAAACTGCATATGGTCAAAACAAGAGAGTTCTGATTTAATTATCTCATAGAGACCAAAAGAGGTGATGATAGAGCTCTCCCCGGAGCTGGACAGCTGCCATGGCTCACACATGAGAAGCTCCTGGAGTGGTGCTGCCTCACCACTGAACTCTGGCATGGGGGACCCTAACAGCAGGGTGTCCCCACCTGATGGCCCGCTGGCTCTTCCCCCAGATTGGGCAGCATCTTGAAGGGCTGACTCTTCCTTGTGGTTCCCTGAATCCTGCATGTCCCCAGAGTCACAAGCTACAGAATGTCACAATGCCTGCAGCCCACCTAGAACAAAGCAACTGTGTGGTGGTCTGTAGCTCCGCCATACGTGCCCCAGCCTGGCCCCCATCTCCAGCCCAGGCAAGCTGTAGGAAGTTCCCCATGAAGCCACTAGGGAACTATTAGAGGTAGATGGCTCTACAGGAGATAAATGAAGGCTAAGACCCAAACCCTTGTCCTGCTGTGGCCAGATGAGCTCAGAAAGGACGGAAACAAGCTTGTGGCCATGTACCCTATTTATTCATTCATTCATGTGTTGTAAGTACTAGCACAAGCTTACAGGACAACATGGTTGCACAGGCTTGGAACCTACCTACTTAGGAGGCTGAGGCAGGAGGATCAGGACAGCCTAGACTATACAGTGAGTTCAAGGTCAGTCTAGGCAACATAGCGAGACCCTACCTCAAAATAAAAAGTAAAAAGAAGGTTAGGGACATAGCTCAATGGTAGAGTACTTACCCAGAAGCCACCAGTGAGGGGCTGGGGGTGTGGCTCAGTGGTAGAGCACTTACCCAGAAGCCACCAGTGAGGGGCTGGGGGCGTGGCTCAGTGGTAGAGCACTTACCCAGAAGCCACCAGTGAGGGGCTGGGGGCGTGGCTCAGTGGTAGAGCACTTACCCAGAAGCCACCAGTGAGGGGCTGGGGGCGTGGCTCAGTGGTAGAGCACTTGCCTAGCACTTGGAAGGTCTTAGGTTCAATTCCCTCATACTAATAAAATAAAATAAAAATAAGTGAGATCTAGAATTTTAAATGATGATCAAGGGAAAAAACAAGACAGTGAGAAGACTGCTGAGATGGGGGTGTGTGATGTTCAGAGGAATGGTCGACCAGACCAAGCCTCCCAAGACTATGTCCTTTACAAAGTCCCGGAGGGAACAAGGGAACGTACTCAGCTCTGAGAATTTCTGGGGGAAGAGCTTCCCAGGTAGTGGGAACAGTAAGTACGGAGGCCCTAAGGCAGGATGGAGACACTTAAGGAGCTGGTGGCTGGTGCCAAGTGGGTGACAAGGAGAAGAGCAAAGTTACAGGGGCTGCATGTAAGGTGACTCTCATGGTTAGGTCTTTGGGCTTACTCTGACATGACATGGTACAGAAACACTCCAAGGTGGGGTACAACAGAGGGCTGGGAGCTGAGGCAGACCAGCCTGTCCCTGCTTGAGGGGAGCCCTCACTGGATGACAAAGTCTCTGTCTTAGGTTTAAGCTGCTTCTCAGCTCAGAGAGGTCAAGATTGACTCTTGTGTGATCCCCCTG